ATTTTGATTTCTAATTAATATACAGTCACAAAAGATTGATTATTTTTCAAGTTCATGGTTACTTATCAGGATATAACTATATTGTATGGTCGAACGTTTTTCATTTTGACGATAATCGCTACGTTAGTTTAGTCGATCGGCTAAAAATCTTTCCTGGATTTGTTTGGTACTTTAGGAGTCTCATAGTAAACTTAAAATTCATCTACGTATCTGTTTATACCCATAAACTGAGGTTTTAGTACTATTTGTTATTCGTAAAATATACTGTTTGTGTACCTAGCATCTTTTGAGATCATTTTTGCCAAAAAATTAAGATATTCAGCGTTTAGTGGGGATGGGAATTTATTCACGTGTATAAAGTATATGTGCCCGAACTTGCAATAAGTCATTCATACTTATTTATGTAAAATATTTCAAAAACTAACGTGGTCATATATATCCTATTCAAAATTATCGCACGATAAGTATTAATATGTTAGGGTAAGATACTTTATATTTGCTTTATATTCTGTCCTAGTCACTTAAAATGACAGATAATTATTGAAACACTGAGAACCTAAGTAAACTACCTTCTACTATGCATTAAAAAGACTATACTTCTTTTTTTAAATAGATTAAACTCCGATAAGTTAACTGTCATTCACGTTATTCAATCAAATTCCATATTAAAAATAGCCTTCGGATAATCAAGAAATTACTTTGGATGAGCCGGTTATGCCTTTTGACATGAGATTATTGAGGTATTAATTATATCATGAAAAACGACTTTATCAGTATAGAAGATATGGAGATTGTTAAATATTGTTGAGATCACGAACCGATCTAAGTCATAAAACCACTGAAGGCCTGAAAGCTCGGTACTTTTAACACGTAGCATATATTTTATCTAATATACGCTTAACTTTTCCAATAGCAATATTGCAGAAGGTATATTTGACTGTATGTCTGACAACTAGTTGTTTCACTTCCGCTCTCGAATTTATCTGCTATGTAAAATATAATTACCTCATCTCCTATTCGTTTTCTCCACTCAACAGTGTTTGATATATGGTGAGTCAGTAGTATGGTGAATTCATTGAAAACTAATATTTCTGTATTACCTATAAGTCCATACTTCCTATCAATTTTTATTTGATCACAAATAAAAGCTCTGTCATTCATTTAAGTCAAGTTTTCATTTCCACTTTATATCCCATATAATTAGCTTCACTTTTTTAAACATTATTTCAATTCAGCCAATCACCTAATTAGATTTTATCGAGCAATCTTCAGCTGTTACTTCAATCATAACGGTTTGCATATGTTTCTTCTACTTTCTAATAGTATGGTCTGTTTCATCTACTCTAATCACCAGTAAATTTAAAGTTGTTATAAATACTCTTCATTAGTGAACAAATGACCCTATTGGACCTACATATAAAACTACGTTCGTAAAACATTTTAATTGTGTATTTATTTGTACCAATTATTGTGTGTGTAGAGTGATTTGAAACACACTAAACGAAATAAATTCACTTTATTCCATAATACTTGTTGCTCCTCCTTTACAAAAATGAAAATTTTTCCAAAAGCATCAATATTCTGGTAATAAAGAATAAATTCACTCTTCTTAGTCTTTTTATTCACATATAAAGTCACTTCAGTAAACAAACAGTGAGCATTTTAAATTGGATATTCAATATATAAGATCCAAATATTTTTGAAGTCATTCAAAAGCTAGCTAAGTTCCGAATCGTTTGGCTCATTTAGTATTATTTACTTTCTAAAATCAACTGTTGATTAAGATAACTACGTAGGTTTAGCCAAACTCAAAGTTTATTGTATTATGTAAATTTGCCGAGATAATACTACAGGCAAAAACAGGTTCAAAAATATGGAAGTAGAAAATAGCAAAACGTGCAAACATCAACTAATTACATCTTTCTGACGCCAGCCAAGTGAAGAGCAGGAAAACCAAACTAATGGTTAGATGATTACCTGTCACCACTACTAATGCTCCTTAAGCTATGTTTGAATTTAGATTTATGAGGAAGGTTACTAATTGAACCGCGAAAACAAGAATTGTGATTTTTCTTCACCACTAGTAAATGAATATCTGAAAATGTCCAAAATAAAATTTACTAGGTTTGCTTAAACGATATAACTTTGTATTGATGACGGTTCATGAGGAAAGATGAGAAATTTTCCCCAGGTTGGAGATAGAAAGCGATAATACTCGGGATCTTATTTGAGTTTTGATCCTAATCTTCTGATTTTTATGGTCATGACCTGTAACTTTCCCTTTTTTAAACTGTTTTGGTGCATTAAGACAGATGCGTCAGTATTGCTCACTCTTATTTATTGATTACTCGATTGTTAAGCATGAAACTTTGCAATACAGACGCATTTGAACTATAACTTATCTCAAACTTCTTCGACGAACTTAACAAGTGGTGGTGCTCTAAAATCAATCCCAGTCTGAATAAAGTTACGTATACTGGTTAGGGTGATTATCATCCGTGTCCACCTGAAAAAAGTCATATAATAAAAACCCAGTAGTGATTTGAGGCATTAGATGGAAAACGATGGCGGATTATGAAATAATTACTACTAAAGGGCTATTGTTCACATGGCCCAATCATTCAGTCTTCAAAAGCTTCAGAAGTTTTATATTTTACACACTCTACCTAACTGAACCAGAACATCATACGGAATACTAGACGTGGACCATATTTGCCGAAAGAGTGAGACGTTGGCTATTTCTAAAGTGATATATGCAACGTTAGTAGCTGAACCTTTTGTCCTCTTATTAGAGAAAGGGTCACAAAAGTCAAGTGATTTCTTTCATCTTATTGTCTAAAAACAATGTTAGATCAACTTTATGTCTTTCTAGAATTAATTATTCATGGAGATCAAATAATCTTACTTGAGAAAACTGGATTATAATTTTTCAGTTGTGTAGTTAACGGCTGGAGCTTCTTAATAAGTGAGGTGATATTATCCTACATGGTGTTAGTGTTTCAGGGATAGTTACAATGATACCTGTCTGAACAGCTAAAAAATTAGACAGCCTGATGTTTCTGTAGCTGAGGAACGTAACCTAGTGGTAGAGACGAGTTGGCTGCCTAATATAAATTAAGCATATTGAGCAAATATAAGGAGTTCAGCAATTTAGAAGCGATATGATACATCTATTTGATTTTTACCATACTTTTGATGAAATTTTCTCTTTCTTTATATTCCTAAAATAGGAGAAGGACGCCTAAGAGGAAGTATTCTGAGAACTTAATTGCTCGTCTACCTTATAAAATTCAAAACGGAAGTTGACTTGTACTGAATTTAAGTTGACAGAAATCGAGTTCGTATGAGTGGTAAATAAACCCCCAAACAAATAACTTTTTTAAGTCTCCAATATTGGTACTAATCTCATTAGTTTTACTGGGCACTTCCTAGATGAAGGCACTCGAGCAAGCATACGCACCAGATTATCGTTGGATACACCGTGCTACGCATCCCTTGCAACTAGTTAGCATAGATCACTTCTGGATATATTGACTATCTTCCAGAAATATCTTCCAACCTATTTATCCATGAATTCTGGTTTGACTGGCTTTTAGACTCTCGATTATACAAGTGTTACGAGTAACGTCGTTGTCAAGCACCGAATATCTGTAACATCTTTGTGCATTTATAACTGACTGATAAATAAAACTAAACATCCATAATCTTTTGGGCGAAATGAATGGATTTCAGATTTTCAGTTCCGTACATCGAACTGTTTATTGCTACTTCATTTTGATATCGCTTGACATACTTCGCGAAAAATCGTTTGAATGGTATAAACGCCCTTCTATCTCATAGCAGCATTATTCACTGATATGACAGTTGAAGCTACGTGTTTATATATACTTATGGCATTTTAACCCATAATGTCACAGGAGCTTAACAAGTATTTTAAAAACACGGACAACATTAGTAAAGTCATGAAAAATAAAAGATTCGATGGTTTACTTCTCATACAAATAATATATGTAACTATCACAAAATTATACCCCTGGTATATTGGTATTCTGTAGAGGAAATTACTCTCTAAAACAAATAGCTTTTTACCTATCAGATAGTCAGAATAGTGGTCTCATGTTTATATCCCTCTAGCTTCAATCAGCTTTCTTTAGTTGTAACTCCTTTCACTCTTTTTCTACCTTTCTCTGATGTGATATAAGTGAAAGAGTCTGATACCAACGTCATATGATTCTGTTGAATACAGACATCACTCGTGATAAAAACGACGATTATGTTAAACGAAAAGATCCAAACAATTCAGATTCCGTTTAGCTCTATGAAGGCACAAAGTATTCGATTTATTCAAACCACTGGGAACACTAAATGTATTTGAGTTCATTATCGAAAAATATTTTCGAATAGGAGATAAACTAAACAGACACACATGACAATGTTACAAGAACCATAATGTCAAAAACAACTTCGAAAAAGTACAAAATAAGCATTATAGAGCTTAAGACTAAGTCAATATAAAATACGTATGATTGCCAAAGTATGAGCCACACACACAAAACAACATTTGGTAAAAACTGAAAAAAGGAAATCACAACTCCGACTAAGCTCTCCTTCAAATTGGAAATCATGAGGCAGTATATACGTAGAATTTCAGAAAATATGAAAAATATGAACAGTGACAATTCACTGGCAAATAAACCTTGAGAATAAGGGAGAACAACTCCTTTTAAAATAAACAAAAAAACTTCTAAAACCGCAAATAGGACAAAGTAATATATGTTACAGAAAAGCAAAACCTGTAAGAATGAAGAGGATCGCACCAAATGAACCTTTGGGTTACCATCAAAAAGATCATCCTTCGTAGACATTTGAAAAAGTGCAGCGTCTACAGTTATTTAAACATACTTTATACAGGCTGAAAACTAAATAATATGAGATTTATTGTCAACTTCAAGTTTATCTGAGGAGATGGAATTCAGTAGTTTTAAGAATAACGTATTATCACTCTAGCCGCCAATTTCAGTTTTTCTTTTACAATGGCTACCCAGGTTTGTCCCATCTTCCCCAGAAGCCTCATACTTTTGTGGCTCATTAATGACTACATGTTAAGCTGTACCTGCTCATCACTCATAAGCTTTACCGTTTAAACTCAGATATATCCTATCTACTAACTACGGTGGTAATAACAGCATTCAACGTTGTACCTACATAGTTGTCATAACTCTTCTCTGTTATGAAACGTTACGTTTGAATTACTTGGACTACTCTACTTAATGTGTATAGTTGCTGATTTGTTGGACAAAATGTCGCAGTCCCTCTATCTTGAGGAAATTTTTGGTGTTTCCCCCAAAGTCATGAGAAGTTTGTTAGTCTTCCCCGAATTTCTGAGAAAAATCCTAGTGTTGTAAAATTGTGTGAAAATATTCAATAAAACCCCAAATTCCTTCGGACCTGGGAAAATTCTGGGGGTTTTGTACCATTTCCCCAGAAGTTTTGTATTGCGGCTTCCTCAAAAGTTCCCCAAGATCGGGAGTTTGGGATATTAGGATACGATGCGTATGTCTTGATGTGTGTTGTCTACATAAATCTTAAGAATGAGTTCTGTAACTTGGACTATCGAGTCCCCCTTAACAGCTTTACAACATCAATCCTTCATTCGAGATATTTTGGTGACTTTTGGGTGAACTTCAAGTAAACCCTGTCGGTTTCTGTATATGAGCATTCCATCAAGTCAAGGGAAGTGGCACCATATGTGTTACTTACTAATTTTTTGATACGGTAACTCGTTGTTTGTATCAAGTCTCTGTTTGCACCGCTAATACCGTACATCAATGGCTGTATTAGAGACATGTTTAATTGAAAGTGCAGTTTGCAACTTATTCTCTATCCGTACTATTTTAATCCCCTTACCATTTCTCAAGCTTACTATACTTACTCTAATACCGCAATTATGTAGATGGTGTCTGTGATAGCAGCGCATAACTCAAATTATTAGTTCAGAATACATTTTTCCCTTCCAAATGTACGACTTTGTTTCAGGACTTACTTACGCCTGTTACTCCCAATGGAGCATAGGCCGCTGACCAGCATTCTCCAACCCACTCTGTCCTGGGCCTTCTTTTCTAGTTCCATCCAGTCCTTGTTCATTTTTCTTATGTCTATCTCCATTTCTCGGCGTAATGTGTTCTTTGGTCTTCCTCTTTTCCTTTCGCCTTGAAAATTCCATGTGAGGGCTTGTCTTGTGACGCAGTTGGGTGCTTTCCTTAATGTGTGTCCTATCCACTTCCAGCGCTTCTTCCTGATTTCTTCCTCCCCTGGGATCTGGTTTGTTCTCTCCCACAGTACGTTGTTGCTAATAGTGTCCGGCCAATGGATCTGAAGTATTTTGCGTAGACAATTGTTAATAAACACCTGTATTTTCTGGATGATGGCTTTCGTAGTTCTCCAGGTTTCCACCCCATACAGTAGAACTGTCTCGACATTTGTATTGAAAATCCTGACCTTGGTGTTGGTTGACAGTTGCTTTGAGTTCCAGATGTTCCTCAGTTGTAAATATGCTGCTCTTGCTTTGCCGATCCGCGCTTTCACATCTGCATCAGATCCACCCTGTTCATCAATGATGCTGCCCAAATACGTAAGGTTTTTACATCTTCCAAATCTTCTCCGTCAATTGTGATTGGATTGGTGCATTCTGTGTTGTATCGGAGAATCCTGCTTTTCCCTTTGTGTATATTGAGACCTACTGCTCCTGAGGCTGCTGCCACACTGTTCGTCTTCTCCTGCATCTGTTGTTGCGTTTGGGATAGAAGGGCCAGATCATCTGCGAAGTCTAGATCATCCAACTGCATCTTAGATGTCCATTGTATCCCGCGCTTCCCTTCAGACGTTGACGTCTTCATGATCCAGTCGATCACCAGGAGAAAGAGAAAGGGTGAGAGTAAAAAACCTTGCCTAACACCGGTCTTCACTTCGAACGACTTTGTCAACTGTCCTCCATGCACAATTTTGCAGTGTAATCCATCATATGAGTTCTGTATGATATTGACTATCTTCTGAGGCACGCCGTAGTATCGAAGAAGTTTCCATAGTGTTGTTCTGTCCACGCTATCAAATGCCTTTTCGTAGTCAATGAAGTTGATGTAGAGTGATGAATTCCATTCAATTGATTGTTCCACAATGATCCGTAGAGTTGCGATTCGGTCTGTACACGATCTATCCTTACGGAATCCTGCCTGTTGGTCACGAAGTTGGGCGTCTGCGCAGTCCTTCATCCTGTTTAACAATACCCTGTTGAAGACGTTTCCCGGTATTGAGAGAAGAGTGATGCCCCTGTAGTTATCACACTTGCTGAGATCGCCTTTCTTCGGTATTTTGATCAGAAGTCCTTTCCAGTCTTTTGGTACTTGTTCCTCATCCCAAATCTTATTGAAGAGAATGTGGAGTATCCTTGCAGTTGCCGCTACGTCTGCTTTTAGTGCCTCTGCTGGGATGTTGTCCGGTCCTGCTGCTTTGCCACTCTTGATTTGTCTGATGGCCATGCTGATTTCTTCAATTGTTGATGGGCCAACATTGATTGGGAGGTCCGTGGGTGCTGCTTCGACGTTGGGTGGGTTCAGTGGAGCTGGTCGATTCAAGAGTTCTTTGAAGTGTTCTACCCACCTGTTTTGTTGCTCTTCAATGTTGGTGATTACCTCGCCTTCCTTGCTTTTGACTGGTCGTTCTGGTTTGCGGCGATTTCCAGAGAGTTTCTTTGTCGTGTCATACAATTGTCTCATGTTTCCTTCTCTTGCAGCCTTTTCCGCCGTCGTTGCTAAATCTTCCACATATTTACGTTTGTCGGTTCTGATGCTCCTCTTCACTTGTTTGTTTATTTCCGTGTATTCAGCTTGTGCCTTGGCTTTTTCTGCTCTTGTTCGACTGGTATTGATTGCTGCCTTCTTGTTCCTTCTTTCTTGAATCTTATCCAGTGTATCAACAGTGATCCATTCTTTGTGATGGTGCTTCTTGTGGCCCAGGACCTCATGACATGTCGAAGTGATTGCCTCTTTGATCCCTTTTCAGTTGCTCTCCACAGTAGTTCCTTCTCCATTGAGTAGATCATGAAAGGCCTGGAACTTGTTGCTGAGGACTATCTTGAATTTGTTGAGTTTGTTAGTATCCTGAAGAAAGGCCGTATTGAACTTTTGTGATATTGTCCGCCCCGTTGTCCAGTGTTTCTTGAGTTTCAACTTCATCTTGGCGACCAGCAAGTAATGATCTGATGCTATATCAGCTCCTCTCTTGGTTCTCACGTCCTCTATAGTCCTCCTGAACGTTTTGTTGATGCAAATATGGTCGATTTGGTTTTGTGTAGTGTGATCCGGTGAAGTCCATGTGGTTTTGTGTATGCGTTTATGTGGGAATATAGTGCCGCCTATGACCAGCTTATTGAAGGCACATAGATTTGCAAATCTCTCACCATTTTCGTTTCTTTCTCCAAGTCCGTGTCGTCCCATGATGTCTTCATATCCAGTGTTGTCCGTTCCAACCTTGGCATTGAAATCTCCCATCAGAATGGTCAGGTCCTTTGTTGGGCACTTCTCGATGACTGACTGCAGCCTATTGTAGAATTGATCTTTAGCGTCTTCATTGTAGTCGTTGGTAGGCGCATAGCATTGGATGATGTTCATTGAAATCCCCTCTTTCTTTGTTTTGAACGAGGCTTTGATGATCCTTGGTCCATGAGATTCCCATCCTATAAGTGCATTTTGCGCTTGTTTGGACAGCATCAATGCAACTCCTTGTGTATGTGGTGCATTTTCTTCTTCATGGCCGGAGTATAACAGGAGCTCTCCTGTAGTTAGTCGTTGTCCAACTTGTGTCCAATGTGTTTCACTGATCCCAAGTACCTCTAGGTTGTATCTTCTCATTTCTGCAGCAATTTGGAAGGCTCTCCCGGTGTCCCACATTGTACGAACATTCCATGTACCTAAATAAATGGTCGCTCTGGTTGTCAGAAGGGGCATCGGCCTCGTAACTTCCGAAGAAATTCGGCTTTCATCATGAGGCGTCATAATTCTTCTAAATGAAGACCTTCTGACTCCCAGGGCAGAGTTTAAAAGGTTTGAATATAGTTTTCTGGTTAGCGTTTTTTTAGCGAGTTAGTTTTCTACGGGATGGGGCCGCTAACCCCATGCCCAACCCTCCTCCTTTATCCGGGCTTGGTACCGGCAGTAGCCCCCGGAGGGACTGGTCTAACTTAATCATACTGAGTGAGATAGTTAAGGGCGTCAGTCATTTCACTAGTCTTGAACGCCTCATCAGCCTTATTGGTTAGTATCTGATGAAATATCAGTACAGATTTATCTAAGCTTGATTGGCTTGGGCCACTTGTACTGTAGTCAGTATATCCGTCTGTTATCAAAGGCACGAGTACGCTGAGTTATTTGCTTCATAGTTAACAAACGGTTTTTAAAAGAACATTCTTCAGTTGCTAGTGTTTAGTCATAGGTGTCTTCTGACCACTGTTGGAGCACGTTTGAACTACCGAGTAAGCAATGCTGGTGTTAAACACAGTATTAGGCTAATATAACAAGTCGGTAAGACTGTTTATCTTTATCAACTGAGATGGGTGAAATACTTGTCTGTCTAACCACCGCCTACTTTGACGTCTAATGTTGGTTGGTGTAAGAGCAAATTGAGAGGCAGCCAAACCAAGATGTGGTTTCAACCCATTAAGTCATGTACTGTTGCACTGTGCCCTGTTGGGGACCACACGATTATTGTGACTAATGATCAGGGGCATTGCATGGAGCTTCAGAATCAGGATTTATATGCCCTAAGTACATAAATAGAATACTAATGTTTAATTAATCCGATACTTTAAACATTCTGACGTTCGCTCAGTTTTAGACCTTGTATCCTATCGGGGTTTCCACTTAGCAGAATCCTGTACTTTGAATCGGTCAGAGACTGTAAAAAGAGAAGATTAATCTCATAAAAGTCAAATCCAGTAAAATCGGTATGCAATAAATGAGTGTGCATAACCTGTTGAAGTTACCCCCACAGTTCTTCGCATGACTCATTAAATTTGGGAAGAATACCTTAGGTAAGACAATATGCATTTTCAAGTCTGTGATTACACACTCAATGGAGGATGTAGACCCAATACTACCCTCCCTAGGTTTGAAATCTCAACCCCACAATTTTTCTGCTTCTCATCTCCGATTAAGTTTCATATGATTATGGTATCTAATGCCTCAGAAGCTACAATAAACAAACACATCTGTTTTGTAATTATCACAAGGAGTTAATATTCTTCCGAAATCGTCTGCTACTATTTTTTTTTACTTCTGTACTCAATTTAATGCCTCAACACTTCCCTGACCTACTTTCCTAACAACATTCATGGTTATACATCTATAAGTCCTCCCATTTTTCATTGTTTTAAGTCTGTCATATTTTAATTGGTAAAAGCTACAATGATAGTTGACAAAACATTGAAGCTGTGCGCAAGTAGGTTGTTTCTTCATTTCTCTTAGTCTAAGACATTATTAATGCTCATCTTTTTCAGTGATGTTCTCACTGATCAGAACTAGTCATACAACTGTTTTTGGACATGGTAACAAGAATTTTTTTCTTCCTTCTTAACGAACCTCACTACGTTCCTTTCGACTTCCTTATTTCTAGAGGAAATTAGAGTAGACTGTTCTTAAAAACTACATTTTGTCTCGTTATAATCACTCAAGTGCTTAACATCCATGTCCAATAAACAATGTAGTTTCGCTCTTCAACAGTAGTAATACAAATTATCTGATTATAAGTATATTTTCCTGGTAACCACTATTTTGTCTTAAGCATTTTAAGGTCATTGCCGTTCCTATTATGTTCAGTAATTATACTTCATTTTAGAGCTTTTCCCCTTAGTAAATGTAATTTTACGTGGTAGAATGCTGTGTTTGATTTTATTCTTTTGAGCGTAATATTCCTCGCACATTCGTTTCCAGTCCATCTTTTTTGAATCTTGTTTTCAGTATAAACTGAGCTCCTCACAAAGAGATCGCGTAAAGAAGTTCAGTGCTATTACTCGAAGTTCTGATAAGGTTGCTATTGACTGCCTTCAGATGAGCAATTGGAGGTTAGAACAGGCCGTAGATTACTTCTACAGACAGAATCCAACTCCTCAAGGACCCACTATTAATGAGGCGAAAATTGACCATCTGTTCCAGCGTTATCGTGGTAAGCGTTAATGCGTTGAACACCTGTACTCGGTTTTCCGGTGACGTTAAAACCTGAGAATGAACTATTGATTATATTTTGTGTTAAAGAACAACTGTACTCGAGTCATTATAAGCAAAGATGGATGGTGGCTAGCAGTGAAATCCAGGACGCGCGTTTCGTCCTATTTTGGGCTCGGCTGGATGTATCTGCAACCCAGAGTTGATGTTCACTTCGGGACTCGAAGCAAGTACCATTCACCTCAAACGCCATCATGTTATTCACTTTGCTGCTGAGTCCAGATAACCACTAGCTTGTGCAATGGGGTGAATTTTTAGTTAATTTTCTATTGTTTGTTTGAATCTCCTCATATTTATTTATGTATTTAAACACAAACATTGGTACAAGGAGGCACCAAATAGATATACACCACATAAATCAAATGATTTATGTGAGGACTAGGATACTCGGAAGCAGGTGGTTCTCTTAGGGGGCCACTCCCTGACCCTTCGACCTAGAGGTCTAATCCACAAGGCAGTGGGGCAACTTCAGGAGATGCAGTCCCATGGTACCCGGTGGCCAACGATTGGTTCATATGCCTTGTTTCCTCAGGACCCTGGAGCTTATGTGCACCATTAGTTTGGAATGAGGGTTTTTCAACTCCCCTAGGTGGATCTTCCGTGTCCACCAACTCGGTTAAAGCGCCGGACATTCGCTTTTCGTCCTCTCAATTTTGTAAGCAGCCCCGCCGCGAGAAGGCAGTGAACAGAACTTCCCTGTCAGTATTTGTATGCACGTGACCATGTGAGAGCATTTGGAAAGGGAGAGCTTACTCTCCCCACTCTCGACCGTACCAAGACATTTGGGGGCTTCCCATTAATGTTTAGGACTGCAATTGATCAGTCTTATTGGTATATGTGCATCCCGTGCGGATTGCCTTGAATGTCGGAGTGACCATCAACTCTGGGATGCAGATACATCCGGCCGACAAGTCCCAAATAGGACGAAATGCACGTCCTGGATTTCACTTCTGGCCACCATCCATTTTTTCTTATAATGCTTGTGACTTAAGACAATATCGAGTCAATGCGCACAGGATATACATATGCAAATAAGAGACTGATCAATTGTGCTTAAGCCACTTTACATATTTGGTATCTGGGGTTATCCGGGTCCCACTTCATTTTATGAATGTCAGCATGACTTTGGGTGAAAGTTTTAAAGTGCTTGGAGTTCTGAAGCTCCAGTAAGTCAGCTTGATTCGCATCTTTAGAACACAACTGCTGGAATATTTTCAGAGATTTGTCCATGTTTGCTCTGAATTTATTATTCTAATGCAACTTCATTTTAGTTGGAATGGCTTCTAAGGGAAAAAATAATTGTTTCAATTAGGTCATTACTTTGATGTCAGTTAAATGAATTGCTATATCAATAACCCAACATATGTTCATTCATTAGTTGGCTTTGAATCACATGTTTTATCTTAAGACTAGTAATGCTTTCCAGATGCTAAAACTGGAATGTAGTTCGAAATTGCAATCTCACCGAAACTTCATTACAGACTAATATATCTTGACTGCTGATATATTCTGTGTAGCGGCGACATCTTAAGTATCACTAATTTCTTACTGTTTCCAAAGTTTTAAGTTTTTAGAATTAGTTATTACCGTATGTTGGTGTTGGACTTCTGATTCTCAGTTGTATAGAAAACTAAATCATCGTTTCAGAGGATTTGAGTTTCATTTACAAGTAGTCTCGATTTTCTACATGAATCGAACTTGTCTGAGAAATACAGCCATTTCTTGTAAATCCTTCGACGTTGACCCATATTTGTTTCACAATTAGGAATATTAGAATCATGTTTAGATATTATAAATCCAAGGAAACAATATATCTGCCTCTGTAGTTATAAATAACTCCACAAATGTTTGGTTGGATGATATAAATTTTCTTGAACTAAAATTTATTGCCATTTTTTCCATTATATATTTCTGAGTAGATCCTCAGTGTCCTGATCGCATACTAGCTACAGGGATGGAGCTATTTCTTGTCACAGATCTCCATATTGACCCAGAAAGTTTAATCACTTTAATCCTAGCTTGGAAGTTTTCAGCAAAGACCCAAGGAGAATTTACTCGCGAGGAGTTTTTTCGTGGGTTCAGAGAGTTGGGGTAAGTTATCTATATAATACTTCAGGTTAAAATGTTATGTCTTGGTCAAGTTTAATGGAAATCACTGCTTACTTTCTAAACTTCATAGTCGAGTTAGAGACTAGTTTTCTTCAGTTGACTACTGTTAAAAATAAAGCTACCTACTATGCTTAATCCTATTTTAATAGATTATATCAAGATGGGATCACTAGGAATCATTACGAAATCTAGTTCTGTAACATTACGTGGTGCTATAACTGTTTCTCAGTATTAAGATCACGAACAGACGTAAGTCAAATAACCATTAGAAACCATGAGACACCAAAAATCTGTTTCGTTTTGGTGTGGAACTCCTCAACCGTGCACACCCATGACCCCACCAGGAATCGAACCTAGAGCCCCCAGGTCTCGCGGAAAGCATTTAAGCTTCAGGCCACTAACCTCCTAAGATCCAGTAGTCTGATATCTCAACAGAACACAACTGGGTGCAACCGATTATTATTTTAAATTAGTACATTTCATCTTCCCTTAATGAAAAAAACTAATAATAGGAAAACTAACACTGAAAATAATGATAGTCAATAATCAAAAGAAAAATAGACAGAAAATAGAAGACTTAAAGTAGTATGATATTTAAGGTTTTGAGTCTGTGTATTTAATCCATCATTCCCAATGATGTTAATTCATGACGTATAAATCCTTGTGAATTCCATCCGAGAAATCCACAGTTACTTACATAACTTAGATGAAAACTCAATGGTTTTAGCGCTCGATCATATTTCTTGGTCTAGCCAGACGGTGACCCTTTTTTTATCTTAATCCTACCCTGTTTAGTAGATTGTTTAAACTCATATGGTAACTAGGCTCTCTTTCTATCCACCTCGATCAATGAAAGGTCACATTGACTGACTAACTTTAACTAACTAATGTATAATTGAAATTAAAATCACTCGTCTAGTAACAGATCTACCGCTCCGGAGTTTTTTTTTGAAAGAGTCCATGGTCAATTACCTGATCGTACTTCAATGGTGTCTACTCTTTCCGGCTATTGTAATACGCATTTAATGAGTTAAGCCCCTTGAAGCTAAATGCCAATTTATACCGTGTAGGTGGTATATCAACAATACATTTTAAATTAGTGCAATTACAGTTTCAAATTATTTAGCTTTTTAGTTATATTGCTATTTAATGAAGGCGAAGTTGTATTCTACTATCTAGTATTCCTTGGCCATAATACTTCAATTGAATTCGAAGTCAGAACAAAAAATTGCGAACGAACAATATTTATCCAAATTACTTGGATAAGAAAGATGCAATAGTCGTGTGGTATTTGCAGAAGAAATAGCCAGACCATTACTTTCAAGTGGACATAAATCCCATCTAATTGATTTGAGGAATAAAGATTTGGTGCTAGACAGTTCTAGTAAGAGTGCTGATCTGTTCTTTTGGATCTCCAGGACCATATTATTAAATAATCATCCATATTATTAAGATGCAGACAAGTTTTCTGGAGAAGCCTTTCAAGAAGATTTGACCAGGCAAACTAAAAAAATGTTGACTAAAAAAGGAAAACCAGTTAGACATGTCGTCCTGCTATTACAAGATTATATAGCCTCCAAAAAAGAATGTTCTTGTATGTTCTATGCAGGATAAGAATAACTTCGCATTATGCGACTACTAAAATAGCTGAGACTTTACGGTCGACTAGAAATTGTGTTACAAATATAGCAATTTAGAATTCTTAACGTTTTGACTCGACATATAGATGTAATTAGAAGACTTCATTTGTTTCAAACTAAGATCTAATTGTTGAGATACACAAATAATATACTTGCTGTACTCTTTATTCCTTTGTTTTAGGTGTGACTCAATCAGTTCCTTGCGTAATAAACTTCCTAGTCTATTAAGTGATATAGAAGACAAACAAAATTTTCGTTCTTTATACTTATTCACATTTGGTTTCGCTAATTTGGATAAACATGAAAGTAAATCATTAGGTAGGTTGATTCTTGTCTTCTATTCATTTAAGTAACTTCTTATGGTAGTTATTGTTAATGTTGTGTATTCGTTTCAAAATTTATTCATAGCGTCTCCCATTATATTAAAGATTTGAGCACTAAAAGTGATTTCCCAAAAGGCACAAATTACTGGCTACCATCAGATTGTATTTCAAAATGTTTCTCTACTTTTCTGTAAACTAGTTCTTTTGGTTCAAGAATTGACCCTCCGAAAAATCATCTTCAGTTTAGCACCCGAATGCCCTAGTACGGTCGAGAGTAGGAAGAGTCAGCTCTCCTTTTCGAAATGCTGTCACATGGTCACGCGTGTACAGCCACTGCCTACGCCTGAACATCGATTACCACGACGCGCAGTGCTGACTAGTGTTGGGAATGGTTGGAAAAAAGTTAGGGACGGTCAAACCGAAACGTGCCATCAGTGCTTGAAGTCACTAACTTCTAGTCTTAGCCATGTTGGTAGATGCAAACTACTTGGTTGGGGTCCGCATGACTGTCGTAACCAATGGTTGGAGACTCAATGGCGTAGGTGTATATACATTTTGTCTTCCCTTAAACTATGAGATTTAAATTATTTCATATCTTTCTACGAAATAATTCTTTCTTTCTGCACTATATCCTCACATAAAATCCTTCCTTTATAGATTACACAATTGAGTTAACTGCTTCTATGAATCCGGTGCTCGTCTTGCTGTGCTATAGAGGTGTGGCAACTTGGACCGATGCATGTATATGCCTGGTTCTACGTTGTAACTGACTGGCTGAGCCACTACCAGGGAAGTCCTACTCACTGCCTTCTCGCGGCGGGGCTGCTTACAAAATTGAGAGGACGAAAAGCGAATGTCCGGCGCTTTAACCGAGTTGGTGGACACGGAAGATCCACCTAGGGGAGTTGAAAAACCCTCATTCCAAACTAATGGTGCACATAAGCTCCAGGGTCCTGAGGAAACAAGGCATATGAACCAATCGTTGGCCACCGGGTACCATGGGACTGCATCTCCTGAAGTTGCCCCACTGCCTTGTGGATTAGACCTCTAGGTCGAAGGGTCAGGGAGTGGCCCCCTAAGAGAACCACCTGCTTCCGAGTATCCTAGTCCTCACATAAATCATTTGATTTATGTGGTGTATATCTATTTGGTGCCTCCTTGTACCAATGTTTGTGTTTAAATACATAAATAAAAATTAGATTCACATATTGTATCACATTTCTTATTCGGTTGATGATAATCATTGAAGATAATGAATTTTTCATCATATGCTCTTAACCTCATAGATCAGAAAACTAACATTTCATTATAAGTTAAGGTATTTTGTGTCACTTTAATCTTCTACTTCGCTTCTTAAGAATTTTATCCTTTAACTCGGCAGCTCGGCTCTGAAGGTTCTGTCAAATTTCGACTATTGTAAATCAATAAATGATCAAATTCCGAAACCACATGTGTCGCTTAAACTCTTTCTTCAACGTTCATACATTAATGTACATCGAATAACAAGCAGGTTTGGCTATGACTCTGTATAGGTCTCAATACCAAGTTTGGACTTGATAGTTCCAAAGAAATTGACCATTGGGTAGAAAGTTAATGATAAATATATTTTTGTGATATCCCAATGAGTAGAAATTTGTATTTCTGACGTTTCGTGACTTTACGTTAGTCACTTCTTCAAAGTAAATATTGTTTATTTATTTACTCGGGAAAAGTGACTTACATTAAGTTAGAAATACGTTCAAGTCATCGGAATATTACAAAAACATATTTACTATGTCTTATTCAGTGTTCACTATCACAACAACCTATACTCAAAATTCTAATCATGGACTACAAATTCATTTTTCATCTGTAGATAGGAAGATTATATTGCATATATGTGCTCATCCGGTAATCCTTGGGCATTGGTATCCCGTCCCACTGACCTCATTGTTGCATGGAGCCTCAGAACAGAGGTAACATTTGATCCTCGCTAAAAGTCGTCTATATGTCCTTATGATAAGCTGTTCGATCTGTGTAAAAATTTGCGTATGTGATGTGGATTTCTCCTTTGGCCAATATTTCCTGCTAATATTTTTATTTCTATGTTATATTGTGAGCTACTCGTTATTTTTCTTTACTAATATCTTAAATTACAGTCCATCTGTAATTTATCCTAAGTATTTCAGCTTTTCATGCTACTTAAAATTTCACTCTTCCTTTCCAAACTACATTCTTTGAATTTTTCACTGTCTTTGATATCACTCTTATCCACATTTCTCTGATTTTCGTCCTATTGATTTAAACCTCACTATGTTAGGCCAACGCATATATACACTAGGACACTCGTTGTGTATGACTAACTTAAAGATTGCTAACCAACCGTAAAACAGTTAAACTTACATCCGAATTTGTCCCATAGTAGTTGAAATATCTAATGCTTAAGTCAGCAGTTTGTGAAATGATGGTTAAGGTAATCAACTTTAAACCACAAAGTTTTAAATTAGAACCACGTTTCACCTACTATTTTTGAACAACTAATTAGCATCACATTTAGTATGGCTCAATGCCAAGTATATAAGCCTCTACCTAGTGAATGGGTTAATCTAAATCAGTAAGCTACCATTATTTCCTTTTTTTAATTAAACTTCTTTACCAGTATTACTTCATTGTGCGTGTATTTGTTCATAGTTCTTCAGTACGCTATTCCCTACTGGGAAATTCTTCTACGTGGTCGATTTTGTCATTTATCCCTATGGTTTAAATTCCTTCAAGTAAGTCATTTCATAGACCAATACATTAATTGAACAGTTGTTAGATGTATTTAATTGACGGTAAATTAAAGCGAATTCTTTAAATTTTCACATTTTTTTATCTACACTATTAGTGAATTGAAATATATATAAGTGGGACGTAATGCAACTTGCTTAATTCCCACTTTCCTAATGTCTAATTTGAGTAGTTGCTCATAGTATTTCCTAAAAGAATTCAGTTCACCGACCACAAAAGATACACGTTTTATGTGATGGCTAATATGAACACTAGATTCTCAAATCAAAATAATGAGTTTCAGCATGAAATTAAAAGGTTGATAACTGAGTTGCTCAATCATTTATCGACAACTGGAAGAGTTTCCAATATAATATTGGCTCTACCAACTAAATCCACATTGTTTATTAAAACATATTACCAGTACCTCGGCCTATATTGTAAGCAGGTCTTGCAGATATATTTCTTTTGTCTAACTACTTACTGATGCATTTTAAATGGTTTCGACTAACAAACTTTTTTTCTAGTTTATAATTTGTGTTACTGTTGAGTATGTATACATTCTCACCACTGAACACCCAATTATATTGACTTACCGGTTTTTTTGTCTTGATATTTCTAGGAACATCATAAACGTCCAATTTCTAAGGACACATGGGACCTTCTTCTAGACTTTGTTGAAACAATTTATCCTGACATGTCTAATTACGATGAAGAAGGTATATAAAGATTATATTTATTTACGCATTTTTTAAAAGATTTATATCGAGCACGGATACTTTAACAAAAAACTACCACTAACCAAATCAAAACTTTGGTATTAGGTAGTTGAATGGAAGTAATCATCAGAATATCGTGATCTAGCTTTCATACATTAACCATCAATACATCTTCGTTTCACTGAACACGTAGACACATTGCACGATACCACCAGTCGAGGAACTTTACAGTCTTCTATTCCAGTAATGTTCGTAAATAAATACGAGCCCATGCACTAGATTAAATAACTACACTTATTGTTATTGTTGTCAATACTTCACAAATGCCTATACTGAAGTCTGCATGAAGCAGAGTCCCTAACTCAATTGACTAAGTGCATGTATCTAGCCCGTCGCTCCATCAGGGCTGCTCCACATCTATATTCTGATAATGAGCTAAACTCTTATTTATTAAATGCCAGGATTAAAACTGATTGCGGAACAAAACAATAGAATGAGGATTTGAGTAAGAATATTTGAATGTGTGGCAAATTACGTAATGTTTGAAACTTCTTGATATTATGATACAGTGTAGTAAAATTGTACTTAATTGATCCAATGATATCTTTATGGTGCTTGATTCGTCTCATATCTATATTCATTTTCCTTGGTAAGAATCATTTCCTGTTTTATAGTTGCTTTTCACTTCAAAAATTATCTTTTACCTACAGGTGCTTGGCCAGTACTGATTGATGAATTCGTCGAATGGGCAAAGCCTCAAGTTCAGATGGATATTCCACTAACAAACCACCCATGATCTTATCATATAATTTCGCGATGATACTTATTCTTTTTGAAATATGCAGCTATGCTAACCTCACATTATTTTCAGTTAGAACATTTGTAAAGCTCGTCTTATCTTTCTTCTACAACTATCTTTCTCTTCAGGTTTTCTCCCTATCTTTGCAAATTATTTAGTTACGAATAAACTCTCACTTTCAATGTGTAGTCTGTTTGTGTATTCAGTCATGGTTCTCTCGAAAATTTTATTGGCAATTAGCACCGGTGAATTGAGGTAAATTCACATCGAAATCTATGTGAGACCAGTCTCAGTCCGATTAACCGTATGCTACATCACTTTACTTCATATTTCGTACATTATTCAGAATTTCGAGTCAATATTTTGTTGTCTTTCTTTTAAAGGTGTTCAGTTATTGGCTAAAAGATCAGTATATTAAACAACATACACTTAAGAATATTATTCTTTGTCGTTTGCTTTGTTAAACTTCCAGAAAGATTAGTACTTCACATATGTACCTAGTATACTTAGCACTTTGTTTTTCTACAATGCTGTAGGTTATTCTATCAAACTACAGTGTTAGTGCCAACTAATATTTCAATCTGTTGATGTACGCCTCATCCCTACATCACCTCCTATCCAGGTTATTTTTCCAGTGCACATGTCCCCAAAATTTCTTGTCTTGGCATCTAACATGTAAACTGTATAAATTTTGTTCAAATATATATTATATTCTTATAAACAATTTTTATATCACCTTCACTGTTGTTCTATTTACCACCGCATTCCTATTTGGTCGAACAGCCGGACTTCTCAGTTCGCTTACTTAATCATAGTGAACAGGTAAAACCTCGACTTAGCGAACATCGTTGAATGCATAAAGACTGAAATGGGTATTATATGGCAACACTAGTCAATAAAATATATACATCTATTTTTGAACTATAGATATAGGATGATGGTAATTGAGAAATGTGTGCTCGGGTTTGATCTATACAAACGACTGTTTGTTTCAGCTACCGTCTGCAAGAATCTTGTTCTAGTACTTACTTACTTACGCCTGTTACCCCTAATGGAACATAGGCTACCGACCAGGATTCTCTAACTAACTCTCTTCCCGACTACTATTCATTCTTTTGCTGCCTGCCTTCTATGCTTTGGTCTTCCTTTTTTCCCTTCGCTTTGAGAATTCCAGGTTAGTGCTTGCCTTGTGTTGCAGTTTGATTTCCGTAATGTATGTCCTATTTACCTCCAGCGTCGTCCTAATTTCCTCTTCAACTGTAATCCTGTTTGTTCTCTGTCACAGTAGGTTGTTGCTGATGGTGTCTGACCAACGAACCTGCATTGTTTTGCGTAGGCAGTTTATAAATGCTTGTGCTTTCTTGATGATGATTGTAGTTCTCCAAGCTTCAGCTCCGTACAATAGAACTGTGTAGAAATTCGTATTGAAGACTCTAACACTGATTTTGGCTGACAGCTGTTTTGAGTTCCAGATATTCTTTAGTTGTAAGAATTCTGTCCTTGTGCCGGTCCGTGCATTCACATCTGCATCAGATCCATTTTGTTTATCAATGTTATTGTCTAGGTACTTAGGACTTTCCACCTCATTCAGAGCTTCCTCACCAAATGTGATTGGGTTGGTGTTCTCCGTGTTGTATTTGAGGATCTTGCTTTTTCTTTTGTGTATGTTGAAGGCTACTGCTGCTACACTGGATGTCACCGCCTGGATTTATTGGTGTGTATGAGATAGAAGAGCTAGGTAATCTGAGAAGTCCAAACCGTTCAGTTGTATGCAAGCTGTCAAATGTATTCCATGCTTCTCCTGAGATGTAGAGGTCTTCAGTCAACCACCAGAAGAAAGAGGAAGGGTAAACAGCCTTGTCCGACACCGGTCCTCACTTGTGATGCAGCTGTCCTTTATGCACGACTTTGCATTGTAGTCCGTCGAATGAGTTTCGTCGGATATTGACGATCTCAGGTACACCATAGTGTCGAAGTCGCCATGAAGTCCTGTCCACGCTGTCAAATGCTTTCTCATAGTCAAGGAGGTTGATGTATAGTGACGACTTCCATTCAATTGATTGTTCAACAGTGATTCGTAGTGTGACAATTTGATCTGTGCACGGCCTGTTGATCTCGAAGTTAGACGTCTACTGCGTCTTTCATCCGATCTAGCAACACTCTGTTGAAAACTTCTGGTACTGACAGTAGTGTGATACCTCTGCAATTCTCACATTTGTTCAGATATCCTTTATTTGGTATCTTGATGAGGTATCCTTCTTTCCAGTCTGTCGGCGATTAACCTCCCTCGCAAAGCCTTCTGAAGAGAATTTGGAGTGTCTTTGCAGTTATCTCTATGTCCGACTTAAATGCTTCAGCTGGTATATTGTCTGGTCCCACTGCTTCCCCACCCTTGATTTTCCTGATGGCCATCCTGATTTCTTACATCGTTGGTGGAGTGACACCCATAAGAATGTCTAAGTGTGTTGCTTCGGTTTGTAGTGGGTCCAGTAGGGCTGGTCTGTCCAATAGTTTCTTCAACGTTTTCCACCTACCTGTTCCGCTGTTCTTGAATTTCACTGACTGTCTTGCCATCTCTGTCCTTGATCGGTCTCTCTGGTCTACCATATTTCCCTGCTAGCTTCTTCATTGTTTCAAATTTCCTTTTCTTGCAGCTTTTCTCGCTGTCGTTGCTAGGTCTTCCATATATTTTTTCTTGTCAGCTATAATGCTCCTCTTCACTTGCTCGTTTGCTTCTGTGCATTCAACTTGTGCCTTGACATTCTCTGTTCTTGTTCGACTGTTAATTGCTGTTTTCTTGTTCTTCCTTCCCTGGATCTCGTCCAGGGTTTCCATAGAGATCCATTCTTCATCATGATGCTTCTTGCGACCCAGAACCTCCTCACACGTTGAAGTTAGTACTTCTTTGATCCCTTCCCAGTTCTCCATAGTAACGTCTTTCAGTAAATCTTGTAAGGCTTGGGACCTGTTGTTGAGAGCTATCTTGAATTCGTTTAGTTTGTCAGTATCTCGAAGGAAAGCTGTACTAAAGCTTTTTAATGCTGTTTCTCCAGTTGTCCAGTGCTTCCTCAGCTTCAGTTTCATCTTGGTCACTACCAACTGGTGGTCTGACTATATCAGCTCCTCTCTTTGTTCTCACATCCTTTCTTATAGTAGCTGCATAAGTGCTGGTGGGGGTGCGAGTGATGGGGTCAATGCACGAATAGTGAAAGCCAGAGCGGCTTATGCCAATCTGGACCACCTTTGGCGCCTTCATGATGTTAGTCTGGTTGTAAAAGGTCGGACCTACAACGCGTCGGTGAGAGCAGTTTTGCTCTATGCTTGTGAAACCTGGCCTCTCCGAGTTGAGGACGTTAGGAGACTCTCTGTGTTCGATCATCCCTGTCTCCGAAGGATTGCTGACATCCAGTGGCAACACCATGTCAGTAATGCAGAGGTTCGGCATCGTGTGTTCGGGCACAGAGATGATAATGCAATCGATGTCACCATCTTGAAACACCGACTTCGGTGGCTTGGACGTGTTCTACGAATGTCGTCCCAGAGAATTCCACGTCGTGCATTATTTGCCGACGCTGGGACTGGTTGGAAAAAGCGGAGAGGTGGTCATTGTATGACATGGTGTCGTAGTATAAAAGAAAGTTGCAAAGGACTGGCTTCTGTCGGTCCTTCACGACTTCCTGGTTGGGGTCCGAGAGATGGTGCTACACAGTGGCTAGAGACGTTATTAGATATGGCCCAGAATAGAAGCCTGTGGCTATCCTGCTGTAACCTTCTTTTACTTTCTTCATAGAGTGGTTGTGTCTTCCTTAACTGAAAGATTTCTTCTGATTGTACCTTTCCGTTCCCTCATTATTATTATTACTACACTACCTTACACCAACCCCTTCGTTATTGTTCTCTTTTTTTTACGCTCCTTACCTTTTTTTCTTTCTCTTCGATTTCTCATTGTTTTGTGTGGCGCATATATATTTGGCGCTCTCTTGTACCAATATTTATGTGTTCAAATAAATAAATATAGCGTCTCATGATACCTTTATGTCTGGTCTTGTCTTTTCCGACTTTGGCGTTTAAGTCTCCCATTAGGATGGTCAGTTCCTTTCCTGGGTCTTCTCTGACTGACTGCAGCTTCATAAAACCGATCTTTATCGTTTTGTTTGCTAACATTGGTGGTCTCATATCACTGGACAACATTCATCGTAATCCCCTGTTTTGAAAGATGCTTTGATGATCCCGGATCTATAAGATTCACAGTTGACTGATCACTGGATGGTGATCAATGTCATGTGTGTCAGGTCCTTCTTTGTGCAGATTGAATCCTATCGATGTGGCCATCAGTCTAGGTGAATTGGCATTTCATGCATTATGCGAAGAGACGTTACCACTGTGCATTAAGAAGAGCTTGACACACATGACATTGATCACCACCTAGTGATCAGTCAATTGTGAATATATCTCAATCCTACAGGAGGTCAGTCGTGGCCCGGACAGCCCAGTAGTAAAGTCTCTGCTTGTGAAGCCGGATGACACGGCATCGAACCCGTCAGGGAGCATCAGTCCCCTCAATATTACAGGTACATCTTGCTGATGGGCGCCAAACATCACGGAACCCGGGCCCAGGGTTTTTTGTTGACTACCTCTAACCACCATCTTACCTACGAGATTCGTGTTTCTTTAGGAAGCATTAATGCGATTTCTTGTGTGTGAAGCATTTTCTTACTTATGGCCAGAGTACAACGGCACCTTTCCCGAAGCTAATCCTTTCTGTCCAGCTTAGGTCCGATGGGTTTTTGCGCACCGCCTATTTGTATCTCATCTCCGTAGCTATTAGACTGGTCCCCCCGGTCTCCCATATTGTCCAGACATTCGATGTGTCTACATTAATTGTTGCTCTGGTTGTTAGAAGGGTCATCGGCCTCGTGATTTTCAAAGAATCTCGGCTTTCACCATAAGGTATCAGAATTCTAAATAAAGATCCTTCGACTCCCGGGGCGGACTTTAAATGGTGTTAATGATTTTCTCCTCCCTTATCCCGGCTTGAGACCGGCAGTAACCCTACAAGGACTACGTGCGGAGTTTGTCCCAATACAGTTTAATTGTATTTATTGACCCGAAAGTATCATAGTCAGAATATCAGTTATATGCTTTTGGACTTTATTTTAAAAGCTGCAATGTTTATGAATAAAGAAGTATCTTCTTACGATGTTAGGTTTCAAGATACCCATACTTAGGAAATTCTGTCAGTTGATTAATTGCAATACACTTAGTCCCTGTAATCACTTTACACTAATTTGTCATAGTATTAAGATAATAGTCATTTGGTCAATAAAACAGTTTCCCTGTTTTATTGCATTAAGGGTTTGTCCTGATCTCCATATCAAAATGAGTTGTGTATTTCACAGATTTACCTCTTGTGATATTGTTGTCGTTAATGATCTTCAAATATATATGTTTGAGTGCTTACCTACAACTTAGCTTAATGGACACGGTTTAAATATGTTCTGTCAACTTATATACATCTACACCAAAATAATACTGATGTTCTAAATTATAGACGGATGCAAACTAAGTTAACTATCCTTTTACTGGCCTTTGGCAAGTATTAACTCGCATATACCGAGAAAGGACCATGGAAAATATACAAATCGACGTAAAAGCAGCCACAGATGTTTATAAGAATAATCTCTATCTGTGTAGGAGTGATTTCCAAAGGGATAAAACTGGTGGGAAGTATACTCTGTCGCCATCTCTTTTTATTTCCCATCACCAACCCCCGGTTTCTATTATCTTAGTGGTCTTAACCAGGACATTTGCATACATACATACAAGTTGGTTGGGTGATGTGATATCTTGTTCTAGCGACCTACTTCTTGATCTGCTGTTATTCATAGTGATCCTTGAGCATCACCTGGTACTTGATAAATGCGGAAAGCACCTATACACAGGTTCTCGTCCAAGGAATCAATTAAACCCTGCATCTGTGTACTTTAAGTAGATCAGAGAATTTAGAGAGGGAAGAGAAATCCAAGTCACACTAATACTCTTTCTGTGCTTAAAGTCAACAGTCATCATAGCTCTTTAGTCACCTTGATAGCCTACAATAATACTATACAACTGAGTTTGCGTAAAATGCCTTTGATAGCACAATACAAGTTTCCTGAAACCTCAGGACACCGACATGTCTGTTCGATCGCTGCTGTCAAATGTTACTCTTGGGTCAAAACAGTGGTCTACTGTAAAATATCATCACGTATATTGCAAAAGATGAAGACCTGTTTTGTCGTCCTTCAAGTCCATGTGACTACACTATGTTTACTGACTTCAGCACGCTAGTGTAACTGCTCACGGGGATCATTATTGTCACAAATCACAACAGTCAGAGCCAAAACAATCCAGCTTACTTCCAGTTGGTAATAGCTCAAACTATGTTGTATCGACGGTTAGCATGGCCTGTAGAGACTCAATCTTTGGATCTCGGGGTTGTCCCGCTATATGAAAATACGTAATTTTCGCTAAAACTGAGAGATTGGTGAGCTACATTTTGTGGGTTCTTAGTTGTCAGATAAGCAAACAGTTACTCGTCCTCGCACTATCAATCTAATTTTTAACCAGCATGTAGCCCTCTAGATTCCGTATGACCTAAAGCCTCCATCTGTGTGAATCTAGACGTCTAAATATCGTTAAACTGAATTCTTTTGCATCCATCTTTTTACACATAGAAAGTGTATACAGTTGGCTGACCGATTCACTATCATAAACGGAATACTTGTGGGGTTAGATCGACCTAATGTATTACAATGTGTAACTTTTTAGTGACGTTCTTGGTAGTAACTTTCTGACCAGTTCACCCTTCCACTTGTGATACAACCTAAGTAGGGGAATGGTGGAACGGACAGTATTGTACGACCACATATAATCAACAACCTAATATTACACTGGTTATGTGTAGCCTAAAAGTGATCATGGGAATGTCCTGAATCGCTGCCGTGTATTATACGATTACAGAAACCAGCAATCCTTTCAAACAACTACTGGCTACTTATAGAAGACTTCATATCAACGGTCGAATAATTGTAGCGACTGAGTCCACTGAAAACGAAAACACCAAACCTTCTTTCAGTGCTCTGCAAAAAGTACAAAATCATGGGAGTTCGACTCAATCCTTATATCTTGTAAAGCGCATGTCAAATTCTGTTATAAAAATATCTCCAACGTATCACATATCAACGTGGATCAAACTATTTCGGATGAGTGCAAGGAGCTGCAGTCTTACTTTACAAAGCGGGTTAACACAGGATTAACTCAAAAACATCCACCTTACAAAACTTAGGTGACTATTCATTCAGTAATTCCCAATGGAAAACCCATAACATTGAGTAGTTTACAAACAACAAAATACCGGCACGCCACAAGAATATAACTGTTTTTAAACTAACCATAGTAGTTAACGATAAGCAGATTCGTGAAAAAGATACATACTTGGTAATCAAATTACTGAGAATACGGCGGTGATCTTCAATGGGCAATAGCGTATACTAGATGATTATATGTTTAGCTTGCCATCAGGAATCAAATGCACATACTGACCTTGTAATTAAGTCGACTCACTTGCAAGCAACTTAGTAAAGCGGTACCTAATTCTTGCATTTTAACATCATACAATAACTTAAGACACGATCAGAACCGCGCGACTTCAAGAAACAACCACGACCATTATAATAAAAGGACCACCTAACTGTGTATTTTGAATGACTAACACACTATTATATACGCCTGTTGGCTGACATAATTACCAACCACCTTTTCATACAGATATGAATAACCCTGAAAGCACTCAACCGAAAACTTTAAATCAGAAATATATTCAGGAAGTGCACCAGCTATATTTAAAAAAACATAGTTCATGACTCGTGAGCATCACGCAAGCGCCTAATAGCAGCTCGGATTGTAGTCGCGGCAGTAGTGCTACAGAATGGTTAAGGAGGTGAAATTACATACCTGCAGACATAAGCGCCCCCAGCTACTACCTTTTTGCACGCCTTGCATTCCCATATGCCCGCTGCTTTCCTCTTTAACGAATCCTAAAGGATGAATAGGCAAAAGGGCTTTCTCAGTTTACCTTTCCACAGAAATTGCAGTTGTATTTAGCATGTTGGCTGATTTCAATTTTCTTGATGGTCTTCCTGAGAGAAGCACCGTATCGAACACCATACTTTCCAACTATGCCAACTTTCTTCGTTCTTTTAGCCTACAAATTAAAATGACAAACGCAAAACTCTACATGCCATTTTTTGATAACACGCGCAGTAGACTGACCGCCAAAACTCACGCGGAATCAATCACTCTATAAATTTCAAACTCCAACATATGAAGTATAGTAAACTAGTTCCTAAAAGCTTTCATTAGCAAAGTTTTATTCATTACCAGATTTGCTTCCATTTCAGAGTATCGTATCGTCAACTGATGATTAAAATGTTTTTTTGCTTTATCAAAAAAGTTAAGAAATCAGCCATTTACCTATGTTATTTTCAGATGTCGAAGATAAATAGATGTATCGGTGTAAGCCATTTTGTTGGTTAATGGACCTGACTTCCTACACTTTACCTCTAATCTCGTTGTCTCGTGATGTAAAAAGACCTCAGGCACGCGACATCGTTGGAAGTGGAGTTGTGTTCAAATCCTGTAATGGACATCGACTCTGGGTTTTACATACCTCTAGTTGAGGGAGCCCTAATAATAGGAAACTCGCTTCGTAGATTTCAACTCTATTTATCACTCGTTTGCTATTGAAAACACTGGTTTCATTGTCCTGATACTTAATAGTGTAACAAAAATAGCACATTTATCAGGTCCGGAACCTTATCACACATAAGGTTTCTGATAGTTTAGGTGTCAACAAGGGATATTGAAAAGACACGGAAAGGCCTAAAGTTATATCTGCTCCTTCATTCGGATGGTGAAGATTGATTAACGTTGCTTTTAGGAAACATGAGTGATTGCAGAAACCTGTTAAATACTTTGAATAACAGTAAGCTCACACCACGAGACGGAAAATCCAGGTCAAATGAAAAGCACTTTCAAAAGTCAACATGAATCGGTCGTAACTTAAAGAAGACATTTTGATTCGGTAAGTAAGGGCAACCTATAATTATTGGCACTGGGTTTTTAGAATTCGACTATTCCATTCTACTTCGTGTTTGTTATTGGATTCACAGCTCAATGGCTTAGTAATTGATAGCAAAAAATTCACAGAGTTTAACTGGGTTGAAGCATCGCTTCTCTGTTGGAATTTTTTAGACCGAACACACCTGGTATTTTCTACGGTCAATCTTCTGCGTTGAGAGATCTGTAAATCTCCAATTTAATAAACTGTATGGATGGGCGTTTTACTTAAGTTGGAAAGAGATGGTGGAAATTCTAGCTTTCTTTGAAGCTGCGCCTCGTGGTTAATATTTAACTAGGTTCATCCAATTGTGATAACTATGTGAGTTGACCACCATGATGACTGACAAGGACAAACAATTGTACTGAAACAACAGCATTTTTTAATTAAGACAAGTCAGAGTAGCATAGAATGGAACCGCTGCAGTTCATAGCGAGTCACAGATTAGCCTACGCTGCCACCTGAGACCCTGTTGATAATCGGCAAACAGTTAAATGTTCAGTGATCACTCGTCTAATGTAAAATCTCTTAAGCTTAATGAACTTCACTGCCTCTACAGATTTATTTAGCTTAGTTTGTATAGGAGCTAGTTCTTCACACAAGACTAATTGGATGGAGGATCTGATGACAAATAAATGGCTCCTGACAGGACTTCAGAGGTGTGTGGGGACTATGAGTGAATGTTGGTTTTCGATGCTTGGCGGTCAAATTAAACTCTAGATAGTCTATTTGTAACCTTGAAGTCAAGCTGTGTCAGCGCAAGTGGTAAAATTTGTTTCCTGAGGCTCATCTACCTGTCTTTTCACAAGCCACCATCTTTTAGAGTCCACACCAGTCAGAAATATTGCCAACCTGATCCAAAATTTTATCCAGGGGTTCTCGCATAGTTATTGATAAATATTCAAGATAAACAGCTCTCTAAGTTTGCAATGTCGGTACTGACCGCATTAATTCTACTAGATACATTCTAGTTCAAGGCGCTTAGTCAGGTAACCTCACAAGATCATGTTTAGACACTTCGTGATGCTCATCTCTTTCAAGAACTATACAGCTCAAGCTTTATACATTTCAACGTATTGGACACTATCTAAAGATAATATCAAACCCTTTTGTTCTTGACGTTTATTTCTACTAGCTTTAAGATCCTCCTTTAAAAAGGTGTTAGAGAGAACAATTTTGTTAGGACATTATATACGTGATATTTTTGTATAGTTTGACTTCATTTTATAACCAATTTTATGAAATGTCAGCAAAGACTCTATCGTTTAAGTACGGCGCTGGAGTAGGGGGAATTACCTGCAAACTAAATCAAACTACTCCCTAGTCACCCTGAAATACAAGGGTGTACAAAATTAGGTTGTTTCAAACTACCAATTTGCGTGATTAACACTCTATATTGCCTTATTCAATGAAAGTGACTATTAAGTCAATAAATAATTTTGAAATAATTGCTTATCGCCTCCTTCTTCATCATATAAGGTACAGTTAGACATGTTATGTGGGAAAAACGAAGTGGTTTCAGTGAGCTGAATGAAAGCCCTTGAATGGACGCATTTTTGGACCAAACGTTACATGAATAAAGAAATTAAAAAAGCCTTGACGAGCATCGAGAGCTAATTTTGGGAACACTGTTTCACTTGTTTCAAAGTCTTCAAAATGTTAGTATTCAGTTCCGTAACTGGTTTATTCTATAAATCCTAAGATTTCGTTTTATGTATGACCCACTGCCACAGTTTTTTCTACTTCAAAATTGTTGCAATTAAAACGTAATCGTCCGTATTCTGTTTTTCCACGAAAATTGCTGGTTCGGATATGATCATATCTTTCTAATTCTCTGTGTGTTGTTGTTAGCCATTTATTTACCCTTGTGTCTTTCTGTGATAATCCGAATCAAAGATAAATCTAGCAGCGATCCATTCAGCTTTTCCTCCCTCTCATGAATAATCTGTTTAACTGGTGTGTTGCTTTGTACTACTTTTCTTACCCTTAATGAATTATCCTAGCTAATGTGGAAAGACAAGAAACGACGATACTTGATATCTCGTGGTATACCTTATGCTAATCACATACATTCTAAAGGTTTATAGATAGGCTGTCTACATACCTATGGAATTACGACCTAGTTCGATATTAGTACATTTATGTTTAACACCATAACAATAGACCTAATCCCAAAGTTGTGGATTTGTCGTGCTGTGGCTACCTAGTCTATCAGATCTTATGTGGAAGTCACACCACAGCTTACACTGACTAGTCCTATCGTGACAATTAGCATTATGGCATCCAGCACTTCTGAATATGACATTTGGACTGGGAAGAAAGTAGCGTATCCAATACAAAAAGTTAGAGGTCATATAGAGTGAGCATGCCTGTATGGCCGAGATATTCCATTCCCATTGATTATCCCGCGTTCACAATTACTGACCTCTCCGTGTTAGTTGGTGAATGCGAATTTTCTTTTATCTTGCGCTCACCCTCGAAGATCGTATGGTTATAAACCGACACTACAATAGACCGCCCGTTTTAGCCATCAAATAACTGTGCTATTCCAACAAGCCTTATATGAAACTCCAAACCTGTGTCTGTTTCATCAAGTAGAAAGTATTTGCATAACTTCGGTATGCATAGAACACGGAAACGAAAAATATTGCAAGAACTACTTAACCATTCTGGAAACATCACATCAATGTTATGTGTCCAATTTGTTGGCACACTGGAACTTGATGGTGTTTCTTTCATCAAAAAATCGGATTAAAAATGGTCCCATACCATTTTCGAGATTATCGGGTTCCCAAAGAGGTTCAACACCGAGATACAGATGGTCCTTAACGCTGATTTAGTGTTTTGGGACTGATATGGTTAAATAACTACACGGGGCCTCCGATACTTGGTTATTTATTAAATAGGTAAATGTGGGACAATAACGTGTTTATGAATGCTTTGGTAAAGGCATGATGGACCGATGACCTTAACTATTTATAATCCAACCAAACCCAGCAATGAAATAACAGAGGAATAATAACTTTGATCGTAATGATTAACGTTCAAAAGTCGAACTATCCCATGTAATAAAAAAGAGAGGGTTTGTAACAACTTGGGTTAATTGGTTAGGAACTGGCCTCAAATATCCAAGTATATGTCAGAATATTAAAGCCCAAGTATTCACTCATTTCCTTGTTTTCTATAGGGATCACACTTCCGGTTATTTTATATTGAATGTTGAAAAGCTTTGTGTGTTTGATAAGGTGACCTCGTGCTCGACACCACCTTCCAAGATTTAAAAATAAAAACCTGTTCACTGCTTGTCTGGTTTCTTCTTACTGTAGTACGAGGGGTACTCACAAGCACGGAAAACTCATAGATATACGTCCATGTTAGTGACTGCACAGATATTGTGGTTTAGGGGTATAATTACATAAAGCTTTCGTCACCAACTGACATTAGTTATGATAAAGAAAGATCATATTTCGGAAGCGAGTGTTAAACTGTAGTTTTTAATAAGTTCTATGAAATAGGGTCAGGGTTTTCAACACGAACTGACATCAACTTTGCAACCTTCCCTCTCATAAACTTAACGAACTTAAGTTGGAGATCTAGGGTGAGAGTATGAAGGGGTACAAATTCAAATGTTTAAAATGGTTCTGGACGGATTACAAGCTTTCACTTAACGAGACCCCTTATCTAGTAGCAGTGGATCACCGATGCTTCCAGGTAAGAACCTAGGTATTGTAAAATCCAAACTACGGTTTGGATAGAAGAATAGCCGACCGGGGACTTTAGACACGCGCCCTTTCCCGTCGAAATCAAAACACGTAATCGGGTAAATAGCGGTTCTATAATTCATCATAAATTTAAATGTAAGTCGTTACCTAAACAAATATTACCACCCGGCTATTCAACCAATAATTGTTCAGTCAATCAAATCTAAATTACAATAAATAAAGAAGTTGATAGAAGATGAGGGAAAATTACCATTCACAACAAATGAACGTTATTCTATCCTGACTGGATAGAACACACACAAAAGGAGGAGCAAATCAATATGGCTACCGCCAAGAACAAGTGTCAAGTAAAACAACACAGATGCAGTTCAGGAAGAAACACAAACTTAGTGAATGCGTAAGAAAAACAAAAACTATAATAAAAAATACAAGTATTAACAACTCAAATGTAATCAAAATACAACAATGTACAACTAATGTGATCAATAGGAATAAAGTACAAGTATATACATGGAGGGATTTTCACCAACACACAAAACCTTCGAAATGGATCT